AAGGGAGAGGGATAGAGAGTTAGAAACATCGATGAGAGAGAAACATCAATCAGCTGCCTCCTGCACACCCCCTACTGGGGATGTGCCTGCAACCAAGGTACATGCCCTTGACTGGAATCGAAACTGGGACCCTTCAGTCTGCAGGCCGATGCTCTATCCACTGAGCCAAACCGGTCAGGGCAAGGGCAATTTTTAATTTTTTTAAATCTTCACCTGAGGACATGCTTATATTTTTTTTAAGAGAAGGGGAAGGAAGATAGATGAGAGAAAGAGAAACCAATGAGTGAGAAACATCCATCTGTTGCCTTCCACAACCTTGCTGACTGGGGATCTAACAGGAAACCCGGGTATGGGCCCTGATCAGAATCAAACCCACAACCTTTCAGTGCACAGGACGAATTTCCAACCAACGGAGCCACATGGTTCAGGGTGAACCTGCATTTATCAATATGCCCCAAAGCTAACTTAGCATAAACTTGACACTTGGCATACTTAGTCTAGGAAAATTTATTATGACATTGATGGTTTTTCTCCCCCTGTTTTTCTGAGCCACCTCAGGTATTTCTTAGGCTAACTTAATAGTAGCCCCATGGGTCGACATGATTGGTGTAGTTTATGATTTTCTAATGCAGGAGTTGGTAAGTTGTTTTTTTTTTTTTGTCAATAAAGGGCCAGATAGCCAATATTTAGGTTTTGCAGACTACATGGTCACTGTGACAATGACTCAACTTTGCTGTTACAGTGCAAAAGCAGCCATAGACAATATGTTAGTGAGGGGGCGTGGCTGTGTTCCAACAAAACTTTATTTACAAAAACAGGCAAAGGGTCAGATTTGGCTCATGGGTCCTAATTTGCCCCGCCCTGCTCTAATCTATCCTGTTATTTTTCAATCCTCACTTGATATTTCACTGATTTTTAGAGAAGAAGGGAGGCAGCGAAACATGGATCAGTTGCCTCCCATACTCACCCTAACTGGGGATCAAACCTGAAACCTTTTTGGAGCATGGCATGATGCTCCAACTGAGCCACCTGGCCAGAGCTAATCAATTCTGTTATTGATGAAGCACGGATCTGATCACATCACAGTTGGCTTTAAACTTTCAATAATTCCCTGTGTGCAACCCATTCCCCGGGAGAACACAGCCTCTGTGATCCACAACCTATTGCTGGTAATTCATAGAAAAGCAAAAAAGCCACTTCAGAACATCCTTTAAAAAGTAAATTCAAAGAATTAAATTCATTGAGCACTAATTCCTAGACACTGACAAAAGTGAGTCATCTCTACTTTCCCTCAAAAATTTTTTTTAATCCTCACCTGAGGATATATTTCCATTGACTTTTTAAAAATTGTTTTATTGCTTAAAGTATTACAAAGAATATTACATATGTCTCATTTTCACCACCCTTGACATTCCCCTGGCCTCCCCTACCCCCCAGTGTCTTATGTCCATTGGTTATGCTTATATGCATGCATATAAGTCTTAGCTATTGCAAATTGTGCTATTATGAACATAGGGGTGCATATATTCTTTCTTATGAGTGTTTCTGGTTTCTTAGGATATATTCCTAGAAGGGGATGACTGGGTCAAAGGGGAGTTTCACTTTTCATTTT